CATGCTTATGAGATAAAATACAAGAACACTAAAAGCATTTTAAGACCGAGAAATTTTCTAAAGTCACCTTATTTTAGCATACTTCTTTGCTTTTATATTTTATTTAGTTTTAGTCAGTATGTTTTAATTATGCTGACTAAAAGCATGAATAAATCATATTTCAGTACATTAAATCAATGGTAATTTATTCCGCATAAATGATTAATGGTTCTCCCCTTTTGGACCTGTTTTTGAGTTTTTAGTCATTTTAATGATTCTGTTTTGTTAGTCACTGGTTTGTTTTTGCATTCTGTGTTATATTTAAGCTGTGTTGCATTTTTTTGTTACTCTCTGTTGCCTCCTTGTGCCAGTGTCCTTTCCCCTTGCTCCCTTTTAGTTACTTCCACATCTCCTCCATATCAGCTGATTAGCCCATTGTGCGGTCCCCCACATATACAACTCCTGTGCAGTTCCTTATTTCTTGTTGTTACTTGGCTCCCCATGTGTGCTTTTTCCAAATGTCTCCTGGATTTTTGGTTGCCTGTATTTTGGTTCTTGGAGTTTGTTTTTGTTGCCTTTTTTATTAAATCAACAAAATCTTATCTCTGCATTTGGTCCTCAACTAACTTCCACCAAACCTGACAATACCGTGGTTGGCAGCCCGTGGCTCTTTAGCACCCCCTTTGCGGCTTACTGGAGCTTTTTCAAAGAAAGCAAAATGAAAAAATATATAGATTTTTGTTTGTTTGTTTGTTTATATTATATAAAAATGTAACTGGAGCGTGTAACAAAAGTAATTTCCCTCTGGGATTATTAAAGTATTTCTAATCTGATTGTTTGTTTGTTTGTTTGTTTGTTTCTTTCTTTCTTTCTTTCTTTCTTTCTTTCTTTCTTTCTTTCAATATAGTACTTAGGAGGACAAATAAACATGTTTTATGTTTTCCATTGCTGTAAAAATGTGTATAATAAATACATTTAAACTATAAATTTAAACATTTCGATCAACAAAAAGGTGCATCATAGCCTGCGAAACACATTTCAGCGCAGCACGGTGCCAGGCAGGTGGCTGTTATAAACAAAACGATGGGTGCACTATTGTTAAATTATATTGGCTTATTTTTGTATACATAGCCTACTTACCTTATCAAAAGACCTTGCTATTGCAAACTGTGTCCTATTGGATTGTTGCTCTGATAAGGGGAGAAAAATAAGATTGTATTGTTACCGTGGTTTAAAGAGGACTGCATTTTATTTCCATGTGGAGGTTTGAAATTACAGGAGTCCTATTATGACTTAACATTTTTTTAAATCCTCAAAATAGAAATCAAATCCTTTATTGTATTTCTATAATTCCATTGATTAAAAAAATCATAACATATTAATACTGTAATGCAAGTTAAACTTAAAGCACTAAATACACATCAGATTAGTGCAATGGTGTCTCATATTCTCCAGAATGCGCTGCATGGAAAATAAACACTTAATCATGAATGCTTATTATGTATTCTTTAGCTTACTTAGTCATTTTAAATGTGGTCTAATATACACTTAGATTCCTTAGGAGGTTTATAGAAGCCTTTTAAATGTTTGGTTTTACCAGACAGATCTGTTTTTTGTTTTCTTTGGTTCAATATGGCTCTTTGAACATTTTCGGTTGCCGACCCCTGTTCTATACCATAAGCAATTATTGGAGTTAGGAAATACTGTTGCAAAGGATTCTGCCTTCTTAACTCAGTAGTGTTAAGCCATGCACAGCCCACTGTGCGCCACTGTAAACACATGCTTATTTGATAATTTTTCTAATACTCAGCACCACTCATGCCTGTAGTTTTCCAAGTGTTTTCTCCTGAGGAAGCTGTAAAATATAGGGTGTAATGTGGTTGACAGAGAGTGGTGCCCAGCTCCAGGCAATATAGACAGCAGCACATTTGGTGCTTTGACACCTTAAATGGCCAGTACACTCACTTCTTCACATCTATGTTGTCCACAAAGACCGTCTTGTCTAAAGTAACGAATGGACCAATGAGCACAAGACAACACTATGTCCAGGCAGCGCTCATGAGAATTGTAGTATAATAATGTCCCATTTAGAATGTCACATTTAGATGCAATTTGAGAAAACTAAACTAAAAAAAAATGTCATTAGAAGTTAACCTGTCAAATGGCTTGTCAGAGTGGCTGTGTTAGCCGGCACTATTGAAAATTACCTGCAAATATGTAGTTACCAACAAGTGCCGAATACAACCATCAGATATAACTATTTTTTGTGGGAAACATAAGGTAGAGTGTAATAACAGAGGATAGCGGATGCCTTGTTATACAGGCTGAAACATGACCAATGGCTGAAGTAAAAACATGAGGGACAACAGACAACAATGTACCTCAAGATAAATGCCAGGTAATGGCACTTGGGCCAGCTCCTCCAGGGGAATCCCAAGGCGCTCCCAGACCAGCCAAGAAACATAGTCCCTCCAGCGTGTCCTGGGCCTCCTCCCGGTGGGACATGCCTGGAACACTTCATCAGGGAGACATCCAGGAGGCATCCTAATATCAGCTGCCTGAGCCACCTCAACTGGCTCCTCTCGATGTGGAGAAGCAGGGGCTCTACTCTGAGTCCTCCCCGGATGACTCCTCAACCTATCTCTAATGGAGAACCCAGACACACTACGGAGAAAACTCATTTCGGCCGCTTGTATCCGGGATCTCGTTCTTTTGGTCATGACCCAAAGCCCATGACCATAGATGAGGGTAGGAACATAGATAGACCAGTAAATAAAGAGCTTTGCTTTGTGGCTCAGCTTTCTCTTCACCACAACAGACGGGTACAGTGAACGCTTCACAGCAGATGCCGCACCAATCCGCCTATCGATCTCTCACTCCATCTTCCCCTCATTCATGAACAAGACCCCAAGATACTTAAACTCCTCCACTAGGGGCAGTACATCCTCCCTAACCCGGAAACAGAGGGACCACCACTCCAGTCTGCCAATCCAGCATAAATCAAATATTAAATCCGTTATGTCTGAAAGAACTTCATCTCATCGATATGTTAGAAAAAGAAAAGTAATGTATCAACACAGGTAATAGATACCAGGCCAACACTAGCCCTTGTACTTACAACCAACAATGAGCAAAAGCTATGATTAACAAAGAGTTTTCTTGCACATGTGGATAATTAGAATAAATATATTTAAATTTCAGAGATAACATTCTCAAAATAAAATGCAGTCTTAATTCACCCTATTGTGACAGGCTGGCATTTACTCTATAACAAATGAAAAAGAACAGCAGAAGTGGTGAATAAATTGGTGCTGAGTAAATGCACCTAACCGGGGGAGGACGGAGCGGACTCAGGCTCTGATCGATGGAGCTGGTGGCGGGTGTCTCAGTGACAGGTGGGGCTCGGGCTTGAGGGTGACAGAGCTGCGCTTACTTAACAATGATCCGGGGCAGTAGGAGAAACCAGAGTGGCTTGAAGCACCTTGCTTGGAGCCAGGAGAAAGGGAGGACCCTGTGGGAACTCAGAACCTGGAGTCAGCACGAGTGGGACCCTCTGAAAGGCGATCGAGAGGTAACCTGGGGTAAAACGGGATAGAGAGGACGGGCTTGATTTGGGAGACATGGAAGGTAGGGTGGGTCCTGGAATGGGACGGGAGACGAAGGCGGACGGTCGTCGGGCTGAGGACGGAGACAATCTCATAGGGGCCAGTGAAACGTGGTAATAACTTCCGATGGGAAGATCTGGACGGGAGGTTTCGAGTAGATAACCAGACCCGCTGACCGGGGTGATAGGAGGGGGCAGGGACTCGCCTGCGGTCAGCAAACCGGCGGTTCAGCTAAGAGGTCCGGTTCCGGGCTTGGATGGTCTGGGTCCAGACCCTTTTGCATCGGTGGATGTGGTGGGCAACGGAAGGTACAGCTATTTCCTTATGGTCGTCGGGAAACAGAGGAGCCCAGAGAAGCTTCTAAGGGGGAGATGCCAGTAGCAGTGGAGACATGACTGTTATGAGCTTACTCCACCCAGGGAAGGAACTGACACCAGTCGGAGGGATTGGTGGAGGTTAGATAGCGGAGAGCGGTCTCCAGCTCCTGGTTGAGCCGCTCAGTCTGACCGTTGGTCTGCGGATGGTAGCCAGAGGTAAGAGAGTACCGGGCACCAAGGGCCACGGCAAACTCCTTCCACACACGCGAGGTTCTAATCAGCCCGGCAGCTAGCGACTCCTTAATGTATTTCTCCAAAGCCTGTCGCTCGGCCTGAGAAATGTTATACAGGCGACTGGCTGGGAGCGGGGCGCCCGGCAGGAGGTTGATTGCGCAATCGTAGGGTCGATGCGGTGGCAAAGAGCAGGCCTGGGACTTACTAAAAACCAACTTGAGGTCGTGATACGACTCTGGAACGAGTCTTAACATATGCGGATCAACCTCAGCAGAAGGCTGGACAGTGATCGGGCTGGCGGGTTCCGCCGACAGCAGGCAGCTGGAATGGCATTTAATCGACCAGGCTTCGATGCGCCGGTCAGCCCAGTTAATGTTTGGGTTGTGTTGCTGTGACCAAGAATAACCCAACACCAGAGGAGCCTGCTTAACAGGAAAAACCAAGGAGATCTGCTCCCTGTGATTTCCTGAAACCACGAGCTCAAGGGGCTTAGTACGGTGGGTTATCTGAGGGAGAGCCCCTCCATCTAAGGCGGAGACCTGGAGAGGGGTGCACGGTTTCGAGCTGGGAGCGTTGAACGAAAGAACAGTCTATTAAATTAAAGTCGCACCCTGAATCAACCAGAGCGGAAAACTTCACGGGAAGAAATTAAAGCGGCGCGTAAGCACAGACGCGGAGGAGCAGGGGCTGTCAGCTTAACTTGGTCCGACGGTCTCCCTGCTACAGCCGGCGGACCCGGTCTTTTGACCACTTAGGGCAGTCGCCAATAAAATGATTCGGGGAAGCACAATAAATACATAATTTGGCAGCTATACGCTGCTGCCTCTCCTCGGGGGTGAGCCGTAACCGGCCCAACTGCATGGGCCCAGGAGGAGAAGGAGGACGCGCTGCGGGCTGACCGGGAATAGGATCAGATGGAGAAGGCGGGAGGGATCTCTCAGCTCGTCCTCTAAACCTTCCCCTTAGACGGTTATCTAATCTAACCGCAAGGGAGATGAATTCATTTAAAGAGGCGGGCACCTCTAGACGGGCTAATTCATCCTTTAGTGGCTCGTCTAGAGCCTGAAAAAACACAGTCTTAAGCGCGCGCTCCTCCCAGGCAGCTGCAGCCGCAAGAGTTCTAAACTCAATTGCGAAGTCTGCAACGCGCCTTCCCCGCTGCCTGAGGGTGAGGAGGCGTCGGGAATCAGTCGTCTCATCCGACTCGGCAGCGAAAACCATCTTGAATTCTGTTATGAATTCACTAAATGAGCAGCGGAATCTTCGGCAGTCTGGAAAACGGGATTCCGCCCATCTGAGGGCTCTCCCGGTGAGAAGGCGCAAAATAAAGGCTATTTTGGAGTCGTCATGGGGAAAAGAGCGTGGACTACGATTTAAAGCCAGGGAGCATTGGAAGAGAAAACCAGAACAATCTACACTGTCTCCGGAGAATTTCTCCGGACTGGGAGAAAAAGTCTCAGGGACAGGTGAAAACGAATCAGCTGGAGCTGGACCTGGGGCGGGGTTGGGCTGTGCAGAGGCTGCAGGCTGAGCGCTTGCATTCAGTAAACCTGTCAGCTGATTGAGCTGGGTGGCTACGCCCTGCAGCTGATTCTGAACAGCTAGAACAGTGGACTCTTATCCCCGGATCTGATCCTGCTGGGCATTTAACGCCCTGCCAAATGTGTCCGCTGAGCCTGTCTGGCCAGAGTGTTCTTCTGTCATGTTCGGCTGAACGTATTTAGCCCACATGCAGAACACACGGCAACAGGGATCAGTTAACTGTTTATTGAGAGAGAGAAAATGGAAGCAACGGAGTCGACGGGGAAGCCACAGCACCGGGACCCGTTCGACTTCTGAAAGGAGAAGTTAGTGATTAGCCGGAAAGGGCGATCAGGCAAAAATGAACAGAGGAACGTGAGCTTACCACCGGACGCAGCAACCTAACCGGGGGAGGACGGAGCGGACTCAGGCTCTGATCAAAGGAGCTGGTGGCGGATGTCTCAGTGACAGGTGGGGCTCGGGCTTGAGGGTGACAGAGCTGCTCGAAGCAGAGTGGCTCGAAGCACCTTGCTTGGAGCCAGGAGAAAGGGAGGACCCTGTGGGAACTCAGAACCTGGAGTCAGCACGAGTGGGACCCTCTGAAAGGCGATCGAGAGGTAACCTGGGGAACACAGAGGTTTGGGTTAACGAGGGAAGTCAGAACTCAGTAGAGAGACTGTGGCCTTAGTCGTACCACTACGGTTAACACTCTGCCGTCCTCCTGCTTTCTGGATGCTGCTCTTATAGTGCGATCAGACGCAGCTCAACCAGCCGCAGGTGTGTGCGCCCTGCCCACCTGTCAACTGCAAACACCTGCGGAGAAAGCAGAAAGAAGCAGAACCGGCAGAAACTGCACGGCCCTGTCGGCTGAGTCCTGACACAAGGTACTTTAGTAATCATTAATAACATAATTTGAAAGCATCATTTTAACGATGATGAAATAACCTTTATAGCTGCAGAGTGTAATTGAGAGCAACATCTAATGGTCAGACCGTTCCCCCCAATGCATCTCCCTTACAACCATCATGGTTGAAAATGGCTTCCACAACACTACTTTACCTATCCTGTTAAGTGATTATGAGGTTTATTTACATTAGATCATAGTATCAATTCCATAAGTTCTTCACTACTGTTGTCTATGTACATAAACATTGTATTTTTAAGTATAAAAATTAGGAGATGTGAAGTATCATGAACTGACCACTGTTTTAGTGAAGGAGGCAGCAGAGACAAGCTTTTTTAATCCACATGGAAGACAGAGAAAATATTGTTGACAAAGGTTTTTTCTGAGTGGCTTTACAAAAAGCTGTTTTAATGCAGCCTTAGAAGAACTAGGGGGGCTAGCCTCGAGAGGTTAACTGCTGGAGGTCGAAAGAGAATCAGTGAGGATTAGAGGAGCCTGCGGGCAGACAGAGTGGTGGAATGCTGGTCAGTGTCTGCACTGGAGGTAGAAGAAAATTGTCCCTCTAGCGTTACTGGATAATGGGTTTTTTTTAAGTCCCTCACAAACCCGCTTCAGTCCTTGCCAACATTATTTTCTCTATCTTCGATTTTGATTAGAAAAGCTTTTCTCCACTGCCTCATTCACTTAATTATACAATGTTTATGTACATGAGACTAAATCGTAGATTTTATTCTTTAGATTTGATGCTTGAATCTGTGTCATGATCTTGGTGCTGAAGTCCGTTCTGATTACTAATTTCATTCACCTTCCTAGCTCCTCGCAGTTATCTTTACTGTTCATCAGATCCACCTGCTTCAGTCTCTATTTAACCAGCCTTCAGTCCAGTCATCAGTGCCAGATTATTTGAGCCTATGGTGAGAGTTCTGTAGCGTACGTTTGTGTTCTGATTGCTTTATTCTGACCTGTTCTGTCTCTGGAGCTCTGAGCCTGCCTGTCCCTGTTCTGATCTGTCTGCCTGACCTGTCTTCTGACTCCTGTTGGATTTCTGCCTGTCCCCGGACCAAACCTGGAACTGTTTCCCGACAGTGTTCTGGATTTCCCTTCAGTGCCTGTTCAGAACCTCTGATCTCCTGGTTTTGACTCTTGAGCACGTCCCCCACACCAGCTTTGGCTTCGCCCTCCGCATTATCCTACCTTCCATCGTGTGCTCGGTTTTGATCTCCTGCCTGTCCTCCGACCTCTGGGACATCAGTATCTGGGATTCTCTGGGCGGCACCCACCGCGTCTTGTAGCCAGCTGACCGGCTGGAATCCACCTCCTCGTCTCGGCACAGACTGAACTGTAAGACCAGAGGTTCCTGCCTTAAACGTCAACACTGTTCACTGCAGCTCATTTTTCAATAAACTTTTTGAGAAATCCAACTGTATTTCTGCCTCAAATACTGGGTTCTTTTGTTCTATGCCTGACAGCAGCAGGATGATTGAACAGAGCAGGATCAGGCGATGTGTGGAACAACTTGCAGAAAGAATGAGTAGATAAGAATCTCATGGAAGCTCAAGGAACTGTTTATCCTTTTTTTCAAGCAGACTTTGAATCTTTCCGAATAGTGCAAATATTTAAGGACACTTCAAAATTCAGAGGTGTATCAGAGGTGTCCATGATAAGTACTAACCAAATAGGACTGACAGTAAGGAGAGAGCTTCAAAAGAGGAGGCAGGATTCTTTCTATCACCACTAGCATAGGGTTCTCCTAACTCCCCTATTCACAGCTAGGAACTACAATTTTGCCCATAATCCTTTGTATGACAGGATGTGAAGGTGTAGCCAACCTCACAAAGTGAAAAAAAAATGTATTACTCGTTGACATTCGCTGTGTGTGAAAAAAGCAAATGCACACACTTCTGTATGTTCGGTGCTTAATAATGCATTATTTATATAACTTTTTTTTCTGGGTAGGGATGGTCTGTAAGTCCAATTGGCCTAGCATTATCTATGTGTTTGTCTAGCACTTAATGCCATCTATAAGGCTGAGAGCTGTGTAGATTTACAGTAGCACAGCAGACTGGAGCTCCTTTCCTACCCTGGATAGTGTTCTTAATGTCAGCCCACCGAAAGTTGAAGAATTTGGGGCTAGAAAGAGAAGGGTAGGGACTACATGTGAAGGTACTTAAGCCTTTCTTATCTGTGTGTCTTTTGTTCCATTGCAAACAGAAGCTAGAAGCGATTCTAGTCAATGCTTTAAACAGAGCCAGTACCATAAAAGTCCCACTGCATCATCCTTCTGAAATACAGACCAAGTTTATTTATGACAAATGAAGAAGCCAAATGTGACATTTATAAAAATGCCTGATAAGCCAAACAGGATTCAGACACAGGGAGACTACTGTGAATCCAGTACATTCCATCATAAGGGTTGATGCATCGACAGATCTTACATGCAATAACTGTGGATTACTTTGTACTACATTTTGCAATGGAAGACGGGCATGTGTGGAACATAATAAGTTTGAAGCTGGTCTAACAGTAATTATAAAAGTAAAAAGAGCACCAGAGAAAAATTAGAGGAAAATCAAATGACAATGCTAAGCATTAGTTCATAACTAAAAAACACAAAACCGAAGTAACTAGAGACAAAGAAATTGTCAAAATATTTACAGAAAAAACATTAAAAACTCAAACACCTACAAGCAGTGACATATCCGGCATTTTGCACCGTCAGTGTGCATTTGCCTCTTTCTAGCATATAGCCCTAGGTTTTAAATGAAAAACTGATATTTCATTTCATTCACCCCAAAGAAAACATTTTTCAGTCTAAAGAAATGAAGCTCCATAATATGGCATTGAGCCACCCTTACATTTCAGCTATTATGTAATTTAGGCAAAATTTTACATTTGGAATCCTGGCCAAAATGTTGAAATTTGATTTCATCAGAGCATGAAAGATTTTGTCATAAGGTTTTGTGATATTTCACATGAATTTGGATGATTTCTTTACATTTAATGAAATAAGCTGAGACATAGAGCTTATAAACTTGTGGTGTCTTAAAGTGGCATAGCTTGCATTTAGTTGTAAATCTGCTTTGTAGGCTCTTGTGTCCCCCATCATCATATTTATAAACAAAAATAATCCCAGTATGATTAAAGTGGACACTGGCATTTTTGGATATGTGAACAGCAGTCAAATCATCCTGGACAGTTAATTCAGCCTCTTGATAAGGCTTTTCAACACATGGCAGCATGAAGTGCCCTAATATATCCCAGTGGATGATTTTGGACCTGATGAAACAGTTTGGAACAGCACTAACAGATGACAGTTTATACTTGAAGTCGAGCAGCTTTTTTTCTGTGAATTTCCAGTCGTTTGCTTCAATGAATGCTCTACAGTATAAAAAACTTCACAAAGAACAATGGATTTCTCTTTCTGACAGCATGGGATGGATACTTTGGGTCGTCCATACTACATTTTAGGGCTGTGGATTTTTTGTTTTTCTGTGCTTAATATATATATAAAAAAAAACTTTTAGACTCGATTATACATGTATGCTTCAGTTAGATAATGCTTCGTTAAAATGTTTTTGATATAATATGTGGAATACAGTTTTAACTGGTACATTAGAACTGATCATGCTGCAATCAGCATGCTAATTGCTGGACGGTCCATTACATCTAATTACATCAATCTTTGCCTGTAGATCTGAACTGGCATGTTGCACCCCACTGAGAGCACTTATGGCCCTGTATTCATCAGAGACCAATTGAAATTCACAGCACATAAAGCTGAAAACCCAGCTTATACCTCCTGTATATCTGGTGTAAACCTCTGATCTTGCAGAAACCTTGCACTGCATGTTAACAGCACCAATTTTGTCAAAATAAATTAAACCTCTACTAAAGCAAATCAAATCTACAAATCTGACAGGCTTGTTATTAGCTGTGGCTTCAGTTTCTTATGTTGCAATATGCAGTAGGTTGAAGCTTTTTACACAAGTAAAAAAGAAAAATAAATAAACTCTTTAAATAAGGTATTATTATCAAAATGTTTCACAGAGTACCAGATACCTTGACTATGTGATTGGATATTTTCTAATAACGAATAGATTATTAGTTTTTTCCTCACTGTTTGTCATTGTATCAGAATAGTCATTTTTTAGGTGAGTAAGAATTTACTTATTTGCTATCTTCCAAATGACATAATATTGAGTGAGAGAGAGAGTTGGTTTCATTTTTTTTATTCTTTTTTGATGACTTCAAATGTAAGTTTTGCATTCCTTTTCTTAGTTTCTGGTTAAATTTGCTTTTAAAACATGTCTTGAACATGTCTTGTTTTTTTGGGATTCTTACCCGAGATAGTAGCTTTTTGGGGATTTTTGCCCTTTGGTTCTGACGGAACCTGTTAAATCTTCCTTAGGCCATTTTGTAACAAAAACAATCCTTAGGGTCATTAAAAGGTGTGCCCTTTGCGTTAATGTCTTTAGATGGTACTTCGGTATACCATAACGTAATTTTTTTGTATGCAGTCTTCCGTTTGTGAAGGGAAAAAGTCACTTTGACAGCAAAACACACATAAAATGATGACTAATCCAAACTTCACATGCAAGACATCCTCCTTCCTCTCCCTTTTGCTTCAAAATGCTGCAAGGCTCATTATGGCCAAACAATAAAATTTTTGTTTTTATCAGACTTAAATCTTTTTGACAGTGTTCTAGTAATTAGTTCAAACTGTCGGCCTATATGTACTGATTGTAATGTACACGTGTTTTCAAAATTAAATGCTTATTTGGTTTTGTGACATTAATTGTAAAACATAACATATAATGTCAACATTATATGTAGCAATTTACTTAAAGGTGAAGTGGAGGATTTTCTTTTTCTGGATGGATCTTCAAAATAAATGGTCCTCCTAATTGTCAGTCATCCATCCATCCATTTTCTAACACGCTTATCCCAACTGGGGTCGCGAGGGGTGCTGGTGCCTATCTCCAGCTGTCTAGGCGGGTTACACCCTGGACAGGTCGCCAGTCCATCGCAGCTAATTGTCAATTAGTCTGGTGATAAGTTGTAAGAAGAACAGTTGGTGCTCAAACAGGCTATTAGTAATGTTAATGATTTTCCAAGTGCAGTGTACAAAATCCAAGGCGGTTAAGCTGAAGAGGATCATGCTGTTCAGGGCTTGTTTGCAGGTTAACAATTGGGGTGAATTAATGATGTGAAGAAAAGCTGTCAAATAAAAGTGGATGATAAAGGAATTCACAAGCAGTATAACATATAAAAACAGATAAACATCCTGTGTTGAATTGCTCACTTTGACTGCTGGGACGGAATATAATGTAAACAATCCCTTTCTTTTGCTCCTTTCAGTGTTAAAATATTTTGAAAATGATTTGGTATAGTATAATCAGGATCAGAATCAGAAATACTTTAATAATCCCAGAGGGAGCTTACTTTGTTACACGCTTCAGATATACAAACATATATATTGTCATGGTCTTGGTCCTGCTGTTTTTTACTTTGCTCCTTGTTTTCTAGATTTATTGGTGTAATTCCAGTTTTGTTGTACACTATATTGCCAAAAGTATTTGCTCACCTGCCTTGACTCACATATGAGCTTAAGTGACATCCCGTTCCTAATCCATAGGGTTCAATATGACGTCGGTCCACCCTTTGCAGCTAGAACAGCTTCAACTCTTCTGGGAAGGCTGTCCACAAGGTTTAGGAGTGTGTTTATGGGAATTTTTGACCATTCTTCCAGAAGCGCATTTGTGAGGTTGCACACTGATGTTGGACGAGAAGGCCTGGCTCTCAGTCTCCGCTCTAATTCATCCCAAAGGTGTTCTATCGGGTTGAGGTCAGGACTCTGTGCAGGCCAGTCAAGTTCATCCACACCAGACTCTGTCATCCATGTCTTTATGGACCTTGCTTTGTGCACTGGTGCACAGTCATGTTGGAAGAGGAAGGGGCCAGCTCCAAACTGTTCCCACAAAGTTGGGAGCATGGAATTGTCCAAAATGTCTTGGTATGCTGAAGCATTCAGAGTTCCTTTCACTGGAACTAAGGGGCCAAGCCCAGCTCCTGAAAAACAACCCCACACCATAATCCCCCCTCCACCAAACTTTACACTTGGCACAATGCAGTCAGACAAGTACCGTTCTCCTGGCAACCGCCAAACCCAGACCCGTCCATCAGATTGCCAGATGGAGAAGCGCGATTCGTCACTCCAGAGAACGCGTCTCCACTGCTCTAGAGTCCAGTGGCGGCGTGCTTTACACCACCGCATCCGACGCTTTGCATTGCACTTGGTGATGTATGGCTTGGATGCAGCTGCTCGACCATGGAAACCCATTCCATGAAGCTCTCTGCGCACTGTTCTTGAGCTAATCTGAAGGCCACATGAAGTTTGGAGGTCTGTAGTGATTGACTCTGCAGAAA